TGACCCTGCTGGGGCAGGGGGTGGGGCTGGGTGACCCACAGAGGTCTCTTCCAACCCTGACCATTCTGTGATTCTGTTATCGCACAACACAACAGCCCCCCCGAAACCGGCCTCTGCGAGCCACGGCGAGGCTGGAGGCCAGCAGCAGGCAGCCGGTCCGCGCTGGGATTTGCCACCATGAAAGCTCACGTCTCTTGGGTCAACCCAACCGCAGCACCCTGAGCCCCAGGTCTGGCCCCAGACCCGAGCGGCCGCTGCGGCGAGTGAAGAGGTGCTTGGTCAGCCAAGAACCGAGCCTTGGGGCATTTCTGCTGACTGCAGGCAGGGTCTTTTTTTAAGCCTTGCAGATGTCACGTAGGGAAGTCAACACTGGTGACCCTTTCGGGCATTTTCCAGACTGTAGCAATGATGACACAGAGCGTACATCTTCTTCCTTGAATGAGCTTGGCTTTTTTATAGCTCTTTTTCAGTTGAGTAGTTGCCAGGAGTAGTTTGTGGTTCAAAAGATGAATATTTCCCCCCAGCTAGGAGCTGTGAAAAGCACTCCGAAACACGTGCTCTGTGGAAGTGCCCCCACGCTTCCTCCGTGCGAGGAAGGCTGATGCAACCCAGCACAGAGGGGATCTGAACTTCCCCTTGCTGCCCACAGACACGTCCCGGGCTCTTCCTGCTCCAAGGACAAGCTGTTCAACCACGGCGGGCTGGACGAACGGCGCTGGTCCTGGGGGCAGAGCTTGCCTTGCTCCTCACTGCTGTGGAGCTCCGGAGCCCCTGGATGTCTGCTCACACCTGCCTGGCGCTGCAGACTTGCAAGTGGGGACCCCAGACTTGCAAGTGGGGACCCCAGACTTGCAACTGGCTCACCCCAGTGTGTGGGCTCTGGGGATGGAGCAGTGCAGTGATCCCAGCAGTGCCCTGGGTCAGTTCAGCCAGGGGCAAAGGGAAGCAAATGGCTGAAAAGCAGCAGAGGGGACCCCTCACTCGCTCCTCTGCAGTGAGCTGGGACTGGTCCTGGCAATCCCCCCGCAGCTTTGCCAAGCCTGGCCTTGAAATCCTACAACGGAGGCTGCACAACCCCCCCACTTCCCAATGCTCCCTTATCGCCGCGTCTGATCTCTGCTCTGCTGAGCTGCTCCATCCCAGGGCGCTTCAGCTCAGTCCCCAAGCGTCACTTACTCCAAGTCCCTTGGCAGCAGCGAAGTGCCGATGGCATGGTCCAAGAGCATGGCCATCATGCCCAGCTAGGGCAGGAGACGAGGAGGGTTTCCATCACAGCGCTGTGAGAAACGAAGCACTGCTGCGGCGCGGTGCCTGTCCCCGAGGCGGAGGGCGAGGCAGGACACCCAGCGCTGACGGGTCGAAGAGCGGCCGGAGCGGCCGGCGTTGGCCCC